ATCAATACAGCGATAATGGTCATGTGGAGGTGTTTGATCTGCAAATTAATTCAAACACCTTAGACTGCATTCATCCATAAACTGACGAAGTAATGTCTTAAAAATCTTGAACCTGATTCTGCCACATGCCTCCATGGCATCCCAGGGCTCCCAGGAGAACAGGCTGGGTCCATGTGTCCTTCAAGTATCTCATGTAGGCTAAGCACCTCCAGTTCCCAAAAGTCCTGTACTGTGGTTCCCTGGGGCTTCAGTTGCCAATGCATCCCCACACCAAGCCCACCACAGCACGCCCGACTTCACCTGTCATTCATTCTCAGGTCTCAACTTATATATGAATTTCTTCCTAAACATGAATCTACCACAGATGACTCCAGTGGCCACTCCCCCTCCCATGTACATGTCCTGCACCTCTGCTTCAAGAACTTCCTGCAATTTCGATGCAGTGGCTGGGTAATAACTTCCGCTCTCCTTTCCTTATTCTCCTAAACAGGAAGACAGGGACACACTAGTGTGTTTAAAGAATTAAAGGAAATACACACTTAAAACATGTTGGGCACATGGTCCGAGGGACCTTCTTCACCACCTCTGATTTGTGGCCACACCCGGCATCCCTCTTGATGTTGTTTTGAGAACTGACCTTAGAATCCTCTGACCTTCCCACCTTTTTCCCTCTTACCTTTCTCTTCCCCAGTGTGTGGGGTGAGTGGGTAGGGAAGTGTACGAAAACACCACAGAAGAAGGACAGCAGAACGCAGGTTTAAAAGCACAATGACCCTTTAAGTGTTGAAAATAAGCAATGACTTTTCCACCCGAAACAAGTCTTTCTGCAAGGATATCAGTAAACCTTAATCCCTCCATCTCCCAGCTCCATCAGCTATCATTTCTAATAGTTGTCCCTGTTTCCTGCTTGCTAAAATCTATCGTTAAAATCATTTCATATGGTTTTCTTTTAATGAAATGGGGGATGGAGAGAGAAAATGAAGATGATATGATAACAGAATAAAAAAGCAAACGCAAGCAGTGATAGAACTGTCAATAAACACATAACAAACTAGTTCCTTGCATCTATTAAATATCTAAATTTCACTGGTAGACTCAGTTGTCAAAAGATAATCATCTGTTGACTCATTTGTCATGCAATTTTCTAAACCCTGCAGTCTTGGCCAGTGCAAGGTCCTCTGACAGTCACCTGGGGCTTGGGCCAATGCTCACTTCTCTCAATGTGTGTAGGAAGCTGGGGCTGCCCAAAGCATAGCTATGACTAGAGGCTGCCTCATTTATGTCAGCTCTGCATTCATTATTCAGACCCCCAGTCTCAGTATTTCCCCAGATTGGCTTTCTGCTTTTAAGCTCACTCTGCAGTATGCCCAATTCTTGCTGGGCCCAGATAGCTGTCAGCTGCCTCTACATCTCTCCAGCTGTAGCCCTCTTGCAGGTGTCCTGCCCATGCAAGAACTCTAGCATACAATGCCATGCAGGGCCCTAGTCCACCTGCCCCCTGAGATCTTGTCCAGGTGCCCACAGGAATCTCAAACCGGGCATCTCAAGAGGTGAGCACGTGCAGATACCCAGCGCTCCTGATTTCAGGGAATAGTACCACTGCCCACTCCCTTGGTCCAGCATCAGGGACCAAGAGGTGAGCAGAGGAGGCACAGGAGCTTGCTAGTATGAAAGGAGGAAGATGAGAAAGACGCAGGCAGGGAGCAGCAGAGACTGGAGAGCCACCCCAGGACCACTCCAGCATCCCAGCCAGCCCACTGTCCACACCACAGCCTGCTGGTGGCCGCTGGTACTGCAACTGCCCCCTGACGTCTCAAGAGTCTTCACAAAGCTCAAGGGTCTGCCCTGTCAGAGATCGGAAAGGACCTCCACAGCACACCACCTCCTGTGTGAAATCTCCAGGGCTCCCATTCATTGTGGGTTTCTTTTTTCTTCTTAAAGGAAAATTCCATTCCTCTGGATGTGGTTTTCTATTAGTTGGGCTTCATTGCACCAACAAGCAAATGAGTGAGGCTGACGGACGCTAAGGCAAAGCTCGGTGAGCTCAAAGAGCCCACGTGCAGGCTTCCCTGGGAACCCAGGAGCCTTGGCGGGAGGTTCGGGTCCAGGCTCCCAGGCAGGTCCTGCTGGCCTGGCTGCACCTTGCCCCACTCCACCTCCTGCCTCTGCAACTCCTCCCAGCCCCCCCCCCCCCCCCCCCCCCC